TCATTAGCGTTATAGTCTGTAGTACTCAAGTTAAATACATTGTGTCTTTTTCGTGTCTTGGTATCTATCTGTTGACTGTTATAATTATCTAATGGAATAGTTCCAACGCTTAGCAATATCTGCGATTCATGTTTTAGAAATTCAGCTAATAATGTAAGCTTAGGGAAATTTTCTAAGCGTTTGCTGTAAGCATAGTCTGTCCATTTACTAAGCAAAGTGCTGGGCAATTTTAATATAACTGCATTTATTAGTTCTGGACTTCTTAGATATTCCTCTTTATTCAATGCATTTAATGTAGCAACAGAATTAATTATTTTAGTTGAAAATTCTATTAAGTTGCTTTGATAAAATAAGGGTAATGGTGGTAGCTTCTTTAGCCGTGTTGTGATTGTGTGTACAATAAAATCAGAGCGTCCAAACCTCAGTTCCAGCGTGTCCATCACCTGCGAGGGCACCGTGTTGCCGATGAGCAGGTCTGCTACCGCCTCCTTGGCTGCGCCGCGAAGCGATCTTCTTAGCCGCCACAGGTTTTCACTGTTACTGAACTGACATATTTTTGTGGACTCTTCGTAAGCGTTCTTGAAGTGAAGCCACTCAATATAGTCACCGTGGAATTCGGGAAGATCTCGTGGTGTGGCGAGGCGACTCATGAGCCTGTCCTCTCGCTGTGAACTGATTTGGGTCATCATCTCCTTCAGTACATGTGCCAGTTGTTGGACGTCAGATGTAGCCTCCTGTGGAAGCTGCTCGGTGGTCAGGAACGTCGGATGGTTCCGAGCCCGTGGCTCGAAGGCTGCACAAGGTTCACCTTGGCTATGGTCCAACCATTCCCTTACACTTTCTCTCGTACGCTCGTCTGCAACAAACCGACTTTCGGTGACGTCATCGGCCACCTCCTCATCTTCCAATAGTGCTAGATCTGCCTCCAGCTGCTTGTTTATGAGCTGCATACGTATCTCGGCCTTCGCCTGTTCAGCTTTCAACTCCAATTGCTTCCGTCTAGCGATAGACAAAGACGAACACGATCTCCTCGCTGTTGCCGATGTGAACGTGTTTGCGCTGGGTGGTCCCTTCGGTGTCTCCTCCTTGGCAGCCTGGGTTCCTCGCGAAATAATATCATCGGCTCCACGAGGTGGCGGATGTGCTGCTTCCGGGGCAGGGTCCGAAGCAGACGCCTGCTGCTGTCGCCGTGTCGTTGGCATCGTTTACCGTTTAATCCACGCGAAATTAATAAACAATAAGCTCCACGGGAGGCAACCAGTTCCAGATGCGGCTCGAAGTGACCAAAATTATAAAGGATGGCGGCGATGCAGCAAAATGAAACACAGTATTTTCAATATGGGTGCGCACTGTACGTTCGACGGACGACATTCGACTGCCCAGAGCCGACCACCCTCCAAATTCACTTTATTTTTAATATTAAAAAACTACCAACTATATTTACATCTACCTTGGTATAAGTTAGTAGTTTACAGATAACAAATAGTAGTTATTGAAATGATGTAGAATATAACATAATAAACATTAATACAAAGAAAATAAACAAAATACAGTGCTACAATTTAGTTCAGTTAAATTACATAATATATTGTGAAGGCTTTAAAATTCTATCGTCAACAATTGTAATTTTAAACAATTTTCTTTGTATTATAGTTTAAAACTCATTATCTATCTTTGTGTAATTCAACATAAAATACTTTTTGCTTGAAAGAAAAATTGTCAAAGATCGTTATTATAAATTTATTTGAGAATGTTTTTGTATTTTAGTCCATTCTTTCGTGTCTTTATAATATTTATTGAAAGCAGCAAATTACTACGATGATTGTTTTTATGAAAAAAATCTAATCGTTGCTGCAATTATTTTATCATCTTTGTAAAGATGTTTGAAGTAATAAACCTAGTTTAAAGTACTTATTCATAATTTACGAATAAAATTAACATCTCTGCTGTGAAACTTATCCTTAGCAGTTTTAAAAACTGGTTTCACGTTGTTATTTAAACATCCGACTTGACTCACTTTAATGCATTGAGAAATTTAACGATGCGTCACACGCAGACGCGTCTAATCTAATATCATAAACATTTAAATGTATTCTTATTAAGGAGGTATTAGTCGATAGTTTATGAAATTGCATTGTATTTTGTATAATAGGTATACGATAGAATATACGTCATTTATCTGTTAGTGAACAATCCTATCGAGTCTGCCGAAATGTATGGTGGTTATATGTGTCTTTGTCTGGCATCCTAGAAATTTTCACATTCTATCACTTTTAATAATATTTGCGAGTTCTTTATATCAAAAGATACTCCATCTTTGATCTGGTCTATACTTACAGAGGAACAAATCTTGTTTTTAATTTCCTTACAACTCAGTTTCAGAGTTATTCAAAGTTATATCAGTGATGCATGACACACTTTCCTGTATAAATATGATGCGGGAGACGAGATAGTGGATGTCATTAAACTGAAATTATATTCGAGATGTGTAAATTCAGGTTATAAGGGAAATACAGCAATGTTTTTACTAAACTAAGCTATAGCAAAGCCCTTCGTTTGTCCCACTAAAGCAATATCGTCTAACTAGCGGTCGCCCGCGACTCCGTCCGCGCGGAATTAAAAAAGTTAATTAGTAGCCAAGCAAATTTCAGCGAGATCCGTTCTGTCGATCTGGAGATACCTCCAAACAAACATCCATCCATCTAAACATTCGGATTTATAATATTAGTAAGATTACATACCAAAGCATATGCTGAAGTGTAGATATTTTCAAATGTTGCATCTTCCAACTAACTATTGTAACAACTGTCTTGTCTCTCTGTCGCACCCTTCAAAAGTAAAATGTTCTTGATGATGTTCCAGTTTGGGTAAACCATCAAACCGTTTATCGATCTGTATCCAACAAACAAGATGTTTGCTGTGTGATACCGGGTGTGGATGACAAGGTAATTTGTTTACTGCACAGGCTATCCATTTTGCGGTGTTATCCAATTTTTTGTCGAAGCATTTTAATAGTTTTCCGACAAATCCATTTTTTATTGACATTGTATCTTGGAATTGTGTCTAGTTTTCGTCTGTAGCGTTATTGTTTCGTCATTCCTTCTTCTTAGGTTTTGTATTTAATGTCTTATCAAAATAAGGCCTAATCTTGTGTCAAGTCCGAGTATCGAAGAAAACAAAAAAGGTTGACCTATTGTGTATATCAGAGAGGAAAACCAAAAGGTTTATAAAGGATTATAAACTCTTTGGCATAAAGAAACATGATCCTATGTATAACTTAAAAAAAAACTACAAGTGTTTAAAATGGGCAACAATTCAAATGCAAAGTAAAGAAGGCCGCGCAGGCAATTGAAACGCAATGCTCGGGACGAAGTGGTCATTAAAAACAATGGGCGCAATAAAAAGCAAACGCGTACAGGCCCAGTGCTGCTGACCCCTTTACAGATTAGACCTCTTTCTAGCACGCGTGAACTATTCATTAATAGACTCCCTTACACATTTCTGGTGCACGATATGAATATTTATATAGTTTTTGTAAATACCGTGCTTAATGTGAATTGATTTTTTTTATTGATTTAAATGTATAATGTAAATGGGTCTAGCCTCATATATATTTTATTGATTAAGCGTTATCAATTAACTAAATGTGATGTCCATGTTAAAAAGGGATTGAATCGAATGTGAAGGAAACATGGTCGTATTAATAAAATCGAGTTGATGGCAAAATCAGTAATGATGGTAGAGAAATCTATATAAGTAAGAAATATCTGAAATATTGCTAAATTAAACCTAACTCCAGGATGATCATGGAGAGCAACCCGTTAAGGGTGGCATAGTTTTGGGTCAGTGTTAGTCATGAAGTTCACAAATATTTGGTCCATATCATTGATAGTATTATAGCAGCTTTTGAGGTCTGGTCTTGATGCGTGACAACTTTTTATACATTAATTTGTATTTAATTTAATGTGTTATGCATATGCAACATACTTCGATGGCCTTTATTCTATTTCATTGTGCAATATGACGAGGGGGACTTGAACGAATCGCCGGCTGGGGCGACAGATGTTCGAGAGCTCTTGTGAATGGCTCGTGGATCCTATTGTAAAGTAACGTTTGTAAAGATTGACCGCTAAAAAATAGGGTCACGTGTATAGCTCATAACATGTAGTAAAGTGTATGGGTGTAATCTACCCCTCTGGTCGCAAATATAGAGAATTGGAAACTTAGATGGTCTCTTTATTTAACAATATTTACTAAACATGACAAACGTTTTGCATTTATATTAACAACTAGCTGTCGCCCGCGGCTCCGTCCGCGTGTATTGAAAAAAAAAACATAATTAGTTCCCGGCAATTACTCGAATTTTTCTCACCTTTTAGACCTCCACGAACATTTCAAGACGAAGAAATCCGCTCAACCGTTCTCGAGTATTAGCGGGGCTAATGAAGAGCTATTGATTTTTAAATATAGATAATTATGTAGCCTATTATTTTTTTTAAATATTCTTCTTATAGACAAAAGGAAAAAAAAAACATATTTTTCTATTATATATTTTAGATGTTTTATTCATTGTTACTTATATTTGTATATTTTGTTCCAGACCTTGGATTTCGATCGGGAAGGACTAACAAAATTAAAGAAGGCAATAAAAGCAATACACAATTCCGGAAATGGTAAGAATATGAAGCGTTTATTCAACAACATTTAAACTCAATAACTTGCAGCATCTTTATATGTCGTTGATAAAGTTGCGTTTTGGTTTTTTGCTAAATTGTAAGTCACACAAAAGTTGTAAAATATACTACTGTTTCTTTTCCAAAAAAATCAGTCAATAGCTTTGTTTACAACAACACAATATTAACAAAATGATACCAAATGTTTGATTAACTAAATATATTTTTTTTTATTAATTCAATTGTCCAATCTTTTGATATCGTTTTATACTGCTACAAGTGTTAAAGACATTAACAATTGCTATTGCGTCTACCATGATAATGAGATAAACTTTCAAACAAAACTCTTGTTTGTAGACTAATGTTAATTACTGCTTCTAAAAATAATGCATGTACTGTGTAGATAGTACAATCCCCTATTAGTTTCTTTTAAAACTGACAAGTTTAAACGTAACTTCCTTGGCGTGCTTCTATTTTGAGGCATTCTTAAATACCTTTTCTATCGACGTATATAAACATAGTACGTGATCTCGCGTTCCCTCTTCCGTGTTATCCAGACGACATGAGACTCTACTATAAATAGGGCCGGAGGAAGTGTTTATGAATAGACGCCACTGGATTTGGTTCGTTCGATGCACTTTGTAGACGCGGTCGAGCGCCGATGCTGCGGAAACGATGAGCGATTTATTGATTTTACTCTTATGGAAAGGGTTTTCTTGCTACCTACTATATTATGATTCATAAAATATGATATAGAATTTTTAATTTTAATACAGATGAGTAAAAATCATTGACATTATGCCACTAATCCATTTGTATAAATGAGATGAGAAAACATTGTTATAATTTCTTAACAAAATTAAAATATTTTGTTACCTGTAAAGTGTTAGTCGTCATTAACTCTGAATGGAAATAAGGTCCTAATATCCTCAAAAACGGACTTGACTCAATTTGTTCTTATCGTCCTTATTTCTAATTATTTGCCTTAAACAGGTATAGTCATTTTAAAAAAACCGGTCGAAAATAATTATTTTATTTTTATTTCGATATTTATACCTGAAACTTGTTTATCGTCTTGTGAAGAACTAATTTCTTTATACATTCACTTAAAACTTAAAATGGCTATATTGTTCATAATAAAAGTTTTACCGAGTATATTTTTGATGCTTTTATTTTGGTTAGTATAAATACTTATTAATTAAGAAATATGAAAAGCAGTCTCTTTCGGCTGCTTTGTTTTAGGCAATATCAATGAATAAAATGTCATTAGGAAAAAATCTGTAATTTCCTTGAGATTTAATATATTTTGTCATTTTACTTTGCACTTCTTACCAATATTATAAATGCGAATGTTTGGATGGATGGATGTATGTTTGTTTGAATGTATCTCCAGAACGGCTGCATGGATCTAGCAGAAATTTGGCACAGATGTGAAACGTAGTCTGGAAAATACATAGGTTACTAATTGAGTTTTTTTTACATTCCGCGCGGATGGAGTTGCGGACGACAGCTAGTATGCAATAAAGGGGATACGATCAGGCTATAACTTGATCCTTATATTTTATAAGGATCAAGTTATAAAATCCTCATTCCATTTGTGTAACCGGTTGTCAAGAAAGGCCGTTCGACCACTGAACTAGAATGACCTGGATATCGCAACAATAATGGTGTTAGACTTGCAGTGATAGCCCACTGCAACGCAGAGCCTTACGCGTCGATACCTTTTAATTATGTAACACTAACGCTTCATTGAACATGTGCAAATCTGTATCTATTTCATCGAAGTAAAAGTTATCGAAGATTTTTATCATCTGACTGTTGCAAAAATAATGCAAATTTTTTGGGTAATAATTTTTCTGTTACTTTGAATAGATTAAAAGTTCATTTTCTTCTTAACTAAAGTAAAATTTAGTAACTTCGTAAAGTTTAAAAATTGTGGAGATTGATCCAGAAAATATGTATTGTAGAGTACTTTCCACAAACAGCCAAGGATGTTAAAACCGTATAACGAATTTGTTGAATGGCAAAGCATCGAAAACGTTCGCGACGACAGTGACTTTACAGCTTTCTATACGAGTTTATAAACAAAAGTCGGTTAAAAAGTAATATCGTCGATGTACAGAGGTCCAAATAAGGCGGGTGATAAAATGCAATTTCTCGTTCGATTCTGGCCTTCCACTTCCCGACGTCTTTCCGATTAAATCGCATCGTACTGTATCATGTTGTTTTACCGCTCAAATAAACATCTTATCGATCGGCCTCAAGTTCCGGTGAATGAACGTAAGAGCCGAGCTTATTATATGAAGGAATATAAACTTTTATAATACCAAAACAAATTTAAATCCTTTTTTTTTAAATGCTGCTTCTTTAACAGTCTTGATTAAATTCTGTACGTTCCCTTATTCTTTTTGTTACGAGTTTTATCTGTGAAAGAGCAATTAATCTATATTGAAAAAATCTAGTGTTTCTTTTGTCCTGTTTAAAGTTTCTCTGGAAGAAGGAATTGCTTTTTACTTCTAATTGGGTACCTATTTTCTATCGACATGCGAGGTAAAAGCACGGCTTATAGACTAAGAGTCTGGTTTAAAAATGTATTTCAGACTATCCAAATGCTTTTTAATAATTGTTACATTATTAAATGGTACTGCATTTAAATTAACATTTGGAAAACAGTGAAATAAAAATCTGTAACGTCATCATAAAAACAAGAAATACCCATATGAGATTTTTTTTTAACCAGCGTGCCAAAAACAACATTCATTGTCTTTTTAAACTGTTCACTAGAACTAGTTCACCAATCGAAACTGTACGAGAAATGAATAGAACGGCTCAGGTTTAAAAACAAAATGAAAACATTTTTAATTTGCGGCAACTACGCTGTGGAATGAAAATTCCGGAACGTTTCAAATTAAAGTTCCGAAAGTTATCGCGGTATAAGCCGGACAGGCTAGCGGTGAGCGACTGAATTTCCCTTCGTGTGGCTGATGGAAAGTGGGTCGGTGTTTGGTTACTTCGCGCAATGTAATCCACGTATGGATTGTCTAGCTTAGCTCTGGCCGTCCCGCACCTGCTATCTCACATAGCTGTTTCAAAAATGACGTTACATTTTACTTGTTTTTCTCTGCTATGATAAGTTAATCTTTTCCTTTTTATTTTTGGTCATCATTATCATCACCACCGACCTTGGCTGCACACAACAAGGCATAGACCTTCTCCAATCATTCACAGTATGTTAATGTTCTTTGTTAATAAACAAATTCAAATATCATATTGCAGTAATTTGACTATTTAACTAGGCGTGTTTAATATTAAATACTTTGAGTCAAACTTACTTGCTTATTGAATTTAATTTCGTCATAGTAATAAACCATAAAGGTATTAGGCCGTGTCTTTAGTCAAATCTTTCTAAATTATCGATAGAAATCATCACTATGCAGTTCGGAAGAATTTTCGAAAAAATAGATGCATTAAATTGTCGGTTACGTACAAAGTATTTTACTGCGGGTTTCTGAGGCCATAATATCCGTTTAAAACATATTGTTATCAGTTTTGTCAGAGATTATCATAGGCATGACGAAATGTTTTATACAGAGATTTCGGTTTTAGAAACCCATATTTAATCTGGGAAATGTAAATCTAGATTATGACGATATTAATACCATGCCCGATCGTTTTGTTTTTGTAAGAAATGGAGTAAACAGACAAAGCATACTAAATATTTCATTATAACACGTTAAGAAACAATACGATAAATACACATAACAAGATGTATAAATTTCATATCAAATATTCATTAGCAGATGCTAAAAATACTCTGACTAGTATTGATTGCATAACATTTTATATCCGTGTAAACAAAGGTAAATTCCGAAAATTAAATGTATCTGCACTCACAAAGCAAGTCTTCTATCTTATCGCGAAAAATAATAATCATTGGCCGTCTTATCTTCGGAGCGGACGTAAGCGATGTCGAATGTAAAGGAGATAAATGCAATAAATAATTGTGTTTTATATTTTTGTTTGGAGCAAGGGCTTACTGGCAGGTTTATTGACTGCGGCTCCGATGGGGCGTAGGTTTGTTTACCAGGGCCGGGCCGAGACTGGTCGCACCGGTGCGGCCGGCAAGGTCGCCTCGCGCGCGCCGCACCGCCGCAAAAACAACTAAACACGCGCCACGGACATTCCACTCTAGTGATGTAGACTTTACTCGTAATGTAAATGTTGTTTAGTTATTAAAAGTTTTCATTGCGGCTTTATAGTGATCAATTTGACCACATAATGAACTTGTATAAGATTGTATAATAAAGATTTGATAATATCGTTCCTTTTGTCATCCAAAAATCAATGACTGTTCTTGGTTTATGTTAACAACAGTACAGTCACCAAGCTCGACATTTACGTATTACAAATATTTAGTTGATTACGGAGGATCGTGATTATTTTGCAACATAACTTCAGTGGTATTGTTGTATTGCGAGGTATAAATGGCAATGTAAAAGCGCCGCCAGTTACTGGAAGTAACAATAAAAGAAGTCGCCTACGGATTCAAATTTCACTCACACATATTTACGGATTTGTCACACGTTTTAAATTTACTTTATGCGACGAAGAAAAAATATAATGGATGTAAATGGATTGTCCTATAAACCGAATGAATGAATAATACACTACTATTTAAGATTTTACCGTTTAATGTTTAGATTGATTACTAACAGTGTGTTTTTTCAATTTAACTTCTAACCATATATATATATTTTTTATTTTAATTGAACATACAAGTAAAATGACTATTCATAACTCTCTTAAAACGCTCTAATTAATTTGATGAAAGGGCCGACTGGACGCATTCAGTGGCGTACGATAAATGTAGTAGCCCTGCGGGGAAATTGAAAGGCGCAACGCTCGCCCGCGATTTGATATTCAAGGGGCGTGCGCGGGATTGAACGGGGCAATGTGGGCCGCGACGCGGATCACTGCCTCGCAAACTAAATACAAATGTCCTCATCTCATCGTCCACATAAACTAAATTAATGATCCTGAGAATATTTTCGAACTGTCAGACGAAAATTAGTACGCTTTAGTCGTGGAGTTGTGGAAATCTACTCTACATCAAGACTCTACTATTAATTTAATGTAACTTGTCACATGGGTAGTTTTGTATAAGCATAGTTAGGTAGGAGAACAATGTTCTAATTAAGTGTCAAAAAACTTCCATGAGGTATTGTCGGCATAAACACACGACATGATAATTAATTCAGCCATGATAAGTTGTTACCACTGAACTGAAAATACGAGTATCTTTAAGATGCTGATGTGTCCTGAATTCCTATTATTAAGATTATCACAAATAAAATAATAGCGTAGCCGTTTTATAAGATTAGTATTTTTGTTATTTACGTTCAAGTGTTTAGATGGTCTGGATCTTGACTTCTTGATTGTTGATGGTAGTTTTGTTTTTTCTTTGTATGTCGAGGATATTACGTTGTATCTTACCGGAATATCTCTTGAGAAATACTGTACACATTGACATCAGTTCATATCAAAAGGAAGTCATACGTCTCAGGAAATTGTGAAGGAAATAAATGCAACACTTTATTTTTCATAGCATAAAATATGAGCAAACTGTTTTTTTTTTTTTAAAGAAGTTTAAGTATTAAATAAATGGATGTTGACGGGCTGTTGTTGGCGCTTCTGGAGCGAGTGAGTTAATTCAAGCGGGTAACTAATTAACGTCCATCTCACGGCGCCAAGACAAAACGTCTCGCAACTGCGACAGTTGGGGAACTCGAGCTGAGAACTTCCCCCGGCGACGTAAATTATAGCTGTCCACATTACTTGAAGTAATAGAACTTCCGAGATAAAGTTCACTTAAAGACTATGTTTTTTTATAAGCTTTAGTGTTTCGCAAACCATCCACTTCTCTGAAAATGTTCTTTAGTGAAACGTCTTTAATTTAATTAAAATTACTGCGAGGAGGCTTAAAACGATCCTTTGACTTTTGTTATCGCAATATTCGTACCTTTTATTAGCTAAGACTTAATAATTTGACACCAAAATTGCATTAAAATTTAATTTATTACATTTAAAATTAAGTTTAAATTCTTTCGTAGCACACGTGGACAACGAGATGTATTTGTCGCGGGCACTGGAGCGGCTGGGCGGTAATGCGCTCAGTAAGGACTCGGAGCCAGATATAGGCGCCGCGTTCTTCAAGTTTGCAGTCGTCACCAAGGAACTCTCCGCACTCATGAAGACTTTGGTATGTCTAGTTTATATCATTTATTGTTAATTTTTTGGTGCCTTAATGAAGGTTTTTCCCTTTCCATGCATCCTCTCATCCGGAAAGTCCACTTCCATTTCCCATCCTTTCCTTATATGAAAAAGGGTGGGAAGGGAAAGAGGACTAAATTAGGCCTCCGGGATGCACGCTCATCAGATGAAACGCGGAATTGCTTCCACTTCACGCCTGTCTTCTGTGTGGTCGTGGTATTTCACCGGGCGAGCCGGGCCAATTCGTGCGAAGATGTTAAAGCGGGCTCTACCACTGTTAAAATCACGATTTACTTATACGATTTTGCTTTACGTATAAGTTTAAAGTACTATAAATTTTGTTAAGTGCCGAATGTGCTTTGCTTCATGATCGAAGTGCATACGGGATGGGGCTTTGCCAAAAACATTAAACGTGTGTCGTAAAATAAAGTATTGTTGGCTCGATGACTAAAATTGCAACGGGTTTACCACCTGTTACATCACTCTACAAAATCTCTGATAATAAATAAGCCCAACAAATCGACAAACGGTTCTTTTTATTAAAACATGAGTGATTGTTTTATACCTTAGTGACTAATGATTTAATTAAATAGCCGCACATCGTCTTCCTGCCTCTTTACTTACGGAGAGTTTGCACGGTATACTCGGCAGTCGTAATATCTGAATTAACTCTTCTTATATCTTCTTTCACATCACTATTCAGGTAGTACTTTCTCGGCTGTCCAGTGCTAAAATTGAGTACAGAAAGTGTATACTTCAATTGAAATGTTTATATTATTACTAGCTATCTCCCGCGACTCTAAAAAATGGATAGTAACTGATTTCCAGACCTACCGAATATGCATATAAAATTTCATAAAAATCGGTCAAGCCCTTTCGGGGGAGTATGGTAACTAATTGTGACATGAGAATTTATATCTTATCTACATATATATAACAGAAAGTCGTGTTAGTTACACTATTTGTAACTCAAGAACGGCTTTACCGATATGGCTGAAAATTGGTGAGGAGTTAGCTTAGAGTCAGGAGACGGTCATAGGATACTATTTATTCATTTTTTTTTGAATTTATGCCTTGAAGAGAAGCTTTTTTAAACTTTAAACTTTTTGTATCTCCACGCGGACGGAGTCGCGGGCGACAGCTATTAGATTCGTAACTCCTTCAAATTTCGTTAAGATAAATCTATGTGAGTGGCTAGTTGGTAGTGCTAAGTAGCGCGGCCCAGTTGCACTGTTTGCACGAAACGGTAACTGTTACGGCCATTTATCGCCGCTTTTGTAAAACGAAATTTTATGTATAGACAATTTATTTCACAAATATCTTGGAAACATGCACAATAATTTTGTAAACTCCAATTTACAAATAATTGAATACAGTTTCCTCACAAGCTTTTACCTTCTTATTATTGGAAATATTCATATAAAAAATATAAAAAAAAGGGTCGTGACAGACAGACGGACGGACAACAAAGTGATCCTATAAGGGTTCTGTTTTTTTCCTATGAGGTACGGAACCCTAAAAATTTTAATTTCTATTATTAGAGATATGTATTTAAAATAAACTTTTTGTTAACTTGTTCGTATTTATTACAATCTGATATTTTATTTCAATCTGATTTGCTGAGAAATGAAATTACTTGAAGGACCCGCGGCGGATATCTCGTAAGATATCGACCAGTCTCGGGGGAAAAGAATCCTATCAAATTAAGCGAAAAAAAGTAATTTACTCCGACGCTTTTCTGTTTTGTTTCATTGGGATTATCACTCTACTCATGTACATTACTTAGTATGATTTAATTAGGATTTATTGTTTACTTTGATTAAGATCATTATTTTGTTATTAAGCAATGTGGTCTATTATATTAGTATAAAATGTAACATGTTTTTTTAGTACAGAATTCGTCAACGCCCACGCATTTTTTGCTTCAAGTCAATCACCGTGTTCTGTGCGAAATCTTTCGCCTACGATGTTTCCAGAAGCGTTTGAAACCACGCGAATTTTATTACATTTCAATCGATGCTCTGGTGTTAAATTTAGACCTGTAAATTCTAGTAAAAATAACGTAATTTAATCTTTTCAGTCTAGATTCTAAACTATCCGTGATTCGTGTTGATAGATGTTAGTTAGATTTTCCTTTCTTTTATAAAATCTTGGCAAGTGCAAAAAATTCAAATGTCTATTCGCTGACTTAATTCTGTTCAATTATTAAAATGGAAATTGTACATTGAAACTGGCATTAACAAATAAATTGCCTCTATAGTAAAATTGAATGCGTGTAGCATAAAGCTTGTCAGAATGTGCACTGCTGGCGACGTGATGGATTATAACCACGGTCCCTGTAATAGACGTGGATGTTCCAGCTTTATGGATACGGGTACATTTAACATTAGCGTTTTGTGTTACCCTGTACATGTTTTGTACGTACATGTACGTTTTATACGTGAATTCACACGAATAATTTTATACATTTGTTACGTATGTATCTCGTATTTACGTGTATCTCTCAAATAGATATTAGTATGGTTTGTTTCTTTTTTTAATATGTTTTATAATTTTGGTCTTAGCAAATCTATTATGATTGTTTCGTTAGGTTTGATTCGAAATATATTTTGTTAGTACGTAAATCAAGTCTACTTACTACTTCTTAAATAGCTTTGTATCCAACCTTCGTCTTATATATTTTAGGATTTTTATCCTATATATCTACTATCATCGTATTTTTAGTTTTGATGTGCAAATTAACAATTACAAGTAGTAGTCAGTAGGTTAAAAACGAAACATTTTGTTTCTACTAAGTACGAAATTGTCTACCCCAATTATGTCGAAACTATAAGACAAAGGTTTAAAGGTAAGAGGTAAAGAATTCGAAACATTCTAACTGTGATGTATGTTCGTCGTTATCTCCATGTTAATCTGCGCAGAATCCTTGACCCGACCTCGACACAAGAGGTCCAGTCGCGTCCTTCACAAATTGTATTGTTCATTCGAACTTATTAAAGTAACTAGCTGTCGCCCACGACGTCGTCTGCGCAACATTAAAAAAACTTAATAAGTTTTCTATGTGTTCTTTCTGGCTGTGTTCTACATCTGTGTAATATCTCATCAAGATCCGTTGTACCGTTTCGGGGAAACCTTCTAACAAACATCCTTCCATCCATTTAACTTTTGCATTTATATTAGAAGTAAAATTGTTTTTTGTCAAAGCCTATGTGGAATAAAATTATCTTATTTTTATTAAGATAAAAATCTTTTGATATTTAATTTGTACACAAAGGCGAACTACTTTTTTACATATTAAAAGCAAGTTTATAGAAATGAGCGTCTTTAGCTGTAAATGAAAATAACCGAGCTAAATACTGTAGTTCTGATCGTCAGAGACGCAGTGCCGGTGTTACCCAACAATGAGGCGTCTTGTCGCGTTTCGCATGAAGGGACTCGCTCTTTAAAGCCCTTTGTTTTTTATACAACAATTTTTAATATAACATGATTAAATCTTTTGGCGTTATAACCTGGATGAAGCATCATAATGCTTTAGTAACCGTACCGCTTTGGTAAACCGTACAATCATGTAATACTTTAACTTAAAGGTAATCGAAGGTCAAATGAATAGACCTAACTGTAGAGGGCGTAGCTAAAATGTATGATATCGCATATAAAAACATAAACAATAATGTTATGACAGGTTATTTGCATACAATAGCATAGCACTAGAGCGCGTGCTCATGCGCGCCCGTTCTCAATTACAACAATGATAGTTGTTACATTAACGTGTCATTACGTATGTATATCGCGCAATCGCTTCGCAGAAAAACCGATATTGTGCATTTCAGCAATGTTTATGGAAGATAACAAATTATGATTGTAATTGAAAATGTTTCAAGGTCGTAAAGCATAGTTAGATATATATGTACCTTTTATTGGCAATTGGACTGTTTGGTGACAGGATTCATTATGTCGGTTATGTTGGAAAATCAAGTAGCCGAAACCTCAAGAAAACCTTTTGCATTACATTGCCTAAATGTTGTAATTCGATTCTACTAAATGTCATGTTTTAGGATATAGCTACCAATAACATTGTGAATAGATTAATATAACAATTGCGAAAGTAAGTCAAAGTACTTTAAACGAAGAACTATGGTAAGAATGAAACTGAAGTTTGTACTGGTACAAGTAATCGGTTCGCGTTTATGCAATAGAGTCGCGTGCCTTCCATTGTGTGGAGATAGCATCATAAGTGGATTAGCGAGATTTTGCTTCGTTTTTTCTTACTGTGAGAGAATTAATGTAGACTTTAATTGTAACAATACTAAAAGTGTGTAATTATAATTGTAGTAAGTTTCTATAGATATATTTCTGTCTATTTTTGTAACATTAATTTAAATTACTAACACATAGATTTTTGTTTTCGTTAATACCCGTAAATTTCCGTTTGCTATTGAAACGATTCGTCTTGCACTATTTTTTTTTTATTTATTTAACAATTTTGAATACTAAACATATTTAACGCTAAATAAACCTCATTGGTTTGTTACAACTCGTATTGTAAAGCTTTCGGCTTTTCATCTAGAAAATTTGTACGTAGCGGTATTCAAAATGTACATACATAGAGCTATTGTATGCATTTGTCTCGTTCTGTTCGCAATAAGCGCCTTTCCATACGAGGATACTGCAACTCGTGATATGTCACGCAAGTGCACAATGCGGCGTTTGGCCAATATCCGTATATACGAAACGTAAAATACGTATTGTTCGTATGATAAAAATATGTCTAGATTACTAATGTTAGGAAGAAAATCCGACACTGTGCCTGTGTATCGGCGCATCACTAGCCTTATTAAAATATCAACGCTTATATCCCCTTACTAATTAATCTGACACTTGACTTGGTAACGAAAGCGCGCCATTCTCGTCAAATTTAAAGTTTAGATGTATGCTTGATGGATGAAATTTAAAGAGATTGATAACAACGTGGAATAGCGATGGCTTCTAATTTAGTTTTTTTCTTAATTTGAAGTTGTAGACGTCAGCTTGAATTGTAAAGCTTTATATGTAATATTAAATTTGTTTCCCTAGGAAGTGATAATAATTTAAATGATGGCAACAATTTCCTTATGCTAGTGTGGATAATTAGCCCGTCGTTTAACGTCCAGGAGCGAGGGTCGGGTTGCGAGGCGTAGTTTAACCCTTTGTGTCGTGCCCTTCCGGGTCTCGTTTGTGAAACGTGCACACACTTCATTGACTTCACTAAACGAACATTATATGAAACATAATATATAATACAATGTATTTTACTGCCATAACATCAACGTGTAAAACTCTCTCTATCATGTAAAGAGTTATTTATTGTAAAATTATAGTCGTTATCTGTGTTGTAACCTATTTTAGGAAGAGGCAGTCATCATTATTAAATTTTAAGAATCTAGATGTCGTGAAAAATGTTTGAGTTTTCAACATCGCGTTAATGTGGTTTCAGGTAGGCGAAGTTGATAAGTGCACCATAACCTTAAACCCGACCTTTGTGACCTTGATCTCTCGTACCGTTAGACTGCGCCATAAGATTTAGCAGCCACGTAAAGTAGCAATGATTTTAGATCAATATTTAAAGGCGACAAAAGTACACTTTGTTTGTAGCCCCAATTAAATATCCACTTATCATAAAAAGGTACAGATACATAATTGTAAAATGGTTTGACAAATTATTGCATAAGTCCTTTAGGTTCAAGGCCCGCATTTGTACTCTATACTTAGGTATCTATTATATGTAGTTCGTACAATAAGCTTACTCAACCGGCTTTGCTATTCAGTTTGCGATGTCAGATGCTCGGTCGGGCAGAGAGATTACATACGAGTGAAACGGAACGTTTATCAAAATTATGCAGTCTGGCAACAAATTGTGTCGCTTAGAAGCAAATACCGCTAAGTCACGTTTAACACCAACAATGCATTCTAAAATGTGGTTAAGGTCGATAGAAGCTAATATGTAAAAAATTGACTATCATAAAAATAATCTCAAATCATTATCTTCATGGTAATTCGGGAAATTACAATCTTAGACGGGAAAAGCAGGATTCTTCGGAACAAATTTAATTAAAAAAAAATAATATTTTTTGTGTTCATTTTACTGATTCGATTTATGTGAAGGTCAATGAAGGAGGAAATTGGTCATATGACATATATACACAAACATACAAACCTTGGAAACTTATTGTATTATTTCTTATTTAATAATATTCTCTTTGTTCGTTCGCAGATGCAGAATATAAACAATATAGTCATGTTCCCAGTGGATAGTCTATTGAAAGGTGATCTCAGAGGTGTCAAGGGTGATTTAAAAAGGCCATTTGATAAAGCTTCCAAAGACTACGAGTCCAAGTACCTGAAAATTGAAAAGGAAAAGAAATCACAGGCGAAAGAAGCCGGACTTATAAGAACAGAAGTAACACCGGCCGAAATAGCTGATGAAATGGAAAAAGAAAGGAGATTATTTCAATTGCAAATGTGCGAGGTAAGAATTCAGATTTATACGTAATTAAAGGAATAATATAAACAAATGAAAATGAAAAAATCTTTATTTTATACACAAAATTCAACCTAGTTCTCAAATTTAGTAGTTCTCAAAAATAGTACGTTATGAAATGCATATTTTCAAGATGTATACGCTTGTAGTTCACATTTACGTCAAATCCTGTATTAAATTTTTCTAGTACAGTTACTGACTTGGTTGTTTATTATTAAATTATCTTTGAAAATACTCCAACATTGAGTTTGCTTTTAAAACCCGATGCGAAGCTCTCTGGTGCATTCTAAAAGCAATTTACGGTAGAACATAAAACCTCGGAGTATCGGGAGATTTTATTAGCGCTTATTTACTGTGTTTAACGAGAAAAATACGTTGTAGTCTACGGTTTTGTTATTCTAACTTTTAGGAAATTAAGTTGGTACGTTGCGTTTTTGTTCTTGTGTCTTACGCGACATGAGTCATCTTTCATTCTAGACATTTGAAATTAACTCATAAATTATCAACACCTTTCATACAATGAGTTCACACTTTTGATAAAGATCTCGTTAGTAGATTAATCTGAGTCACAAACATCCATTAATTTAGCATAAAACTTACAATTTCTCATTCATAATATGATTTAAGTTTTCCACGCTTAAAAGCTTTTAAATTATGAACGCCTGGCATTATTCCAATTGCAAAAGCTTTATAATACTAAAATAAAATATGTTAATCCTTTATATTCACAAGTGATCCTGCAGAATATCCAATAGCAGTAACAAATGGAGAGAACGCTCAGTGAAATGAACTCGACGTTTAATGTTTTATCGTCTGTAAATCTAGAACCGCTCTCAACCTCACCGTCTAATGCTCGTAAGATTCTATTCTAAACTAAATGTATAGCTACGATTTAGTACATTGCATTAATTGTCGTTTTATGTTAATGTGAACAAGCACAGTTTCTGATAGATTTAACTAAATTTCTAGAAAAATCTTTTGATATAAATTCTATATTCCAAGATCTTCATTAATGTAGAGTCACTTTGCTGCGATATAACAATTAAATTCGGCCTGCGGTTGCATGTTTAATTGATATCTATGCAGTTCATGCCCCGACAGCAAATCCAGTTTCGCACCACGTAAATAAATCTCCCCTCTAAGGACGCCCTCGGGTAGCAATTAGTATTCCGCTTAGCGGTAACTAAATAACACTGTAAATATCACTTTTACCGGCTACCTTTTAAAATTAAAATAAATTAAAAATATTCTTATCTATTAAAAGCATATTAAAACTTCGAAAAGGTCTGCATCACGTGGGAATTAAACTCAAATAATTATATGGTCGCTTCTTAATTTTAAGTATTTAGTAGAAGTATTTTCAGTAAAAAATTGCACCAAAATATCTATAATTTATGAAATCGTCTCAACAAACAGCATTGTAATTCAAGGACTGGAATTGACATCAAAGCATTCTCTAGATAACTCCTCGTGGTATGTTCTACAAAAAGGAGAATTTGGCGAGCGTTAACAAAAGCTGATACTAAATATAAAATCACTAAGTACTTCCAAGTTTATCTTTGTTTATTTTATGTCTGTGATGTGTTCATCGGTGACATTGTTTCTCGAACGATAAATGTATTCATTGCTTACGTAACTGTATCAAATATTTATATGCGCCGCGTGCGGGTTGTGTGAATGACCGACCTCACAATTGCACTTGTCGGTCCTCCAGCGTATCGTGCACCTCTTACTCATTTGTCGGACGCAACACTAATTATGAAAGCACCATTCACGAACCAATTCAAGTAGGTTGTTTGGTATACTGACGAATAGGAGTTAATAGCTCGTTCGTTTTTAAAACGAGACAATAAAGAACCCAGAGAGTTTTGAATCTGATGGTAGTTTATTATAAATTTTTAATTTTATTATTGTACTCACTTGGTAAAGCTTTAGATATCAATTAGATTAGGGAATAAAAAATTCAATAAGAATGTTTTGGCTTTTTAGTACAAATGTACACATGAAATGATAAATTAAGAAATCTCAAGTACAAATTAACATTCAAATAAGTGCATATATAGCTTTAACTGATAAGAGATAAGATTACCCATTATGTTTTGCATAATTGAGTAATACGCTTTTTATAGCTAAACGAACATGTGAGTCTTTGTTATTGCGTTGACCTTCTTAGAACGGGATGTAATACCGTTATTTGTGCCGAACTATTGTACAACAAAAGTGATGTAAAGACGTCACGCTTAATCGGACACGCGATATAAACGTAAATTCAAAGAAGAATATACATACATATATGTGTTTGTAAGTTTTGAATCTATTTGTCTAACAAGAACCAATTTACGACCATTAGTTGTTCCCATGATAGTAAAACTTACAGATTTTTTGTGAATTGCATGCTTATATTTCAAGATAGTTGTCACCTGACTTCATATGCGCAGAATTAAAAAAAATAGTGAAGCCTATCTGTACTTCCAAACCAATCCACTATGTTTTACATCTATGGAAAATTTAATGCAGTAGTTCCTGAGATACCATCTATCGAAAAAGTCACATTTATAATATAAGTAAGATTACAGTTTAGTTGTTTTTTGTGTACAAAAATGTATGTAGAACTGTAAATTTTCTGCGCAAACGTTCTCTTTCCAGTGACCGTAACAAAACGCTTTCTGTTCCAAGTGCGTTGACAATGACATTAAGTTTACAGTTATTTTGATAATGTGTGCGAAAAGCTGACTATGTTATTGTTGCGATGCCAAATGATAGATGCTGTGCCAATTGAATTGCCAACTATTTGCCATTTATGATACAATTATATGTAAGGATGTAGAAAGAATTGTGATATTTACATTTCCACGTGTTGCTATTTGAGTTATTGCGACAATATTTTGTTTTCATTTTTGTTTTTAATTCAGTGTTGTTTATTTTTAACTATTTAACCGTTCCATTCATAACTTAACTAGATGTCGCCGGCGGCTTTTCGCTCGGAATTTAAAAAACTTAGTAGCCTATCTGTTCTGCCAGACTATGTTCTACTTCTATGCCAAATTACAGATATGTTGAGCCGTTCTGGAGATACCTTCTAACAAACATCCATCCATCTAAAAATTCTCATTTATAATATTAGTAAGGGTAACATTAGTATTTTTTCTATATCATTATATAGTAGAAAATGTAAAAATGGTAACTTGCGAGTTAAATTCTTTTATGGTTTTTGTTGTTATTCGAATATATTTTTATTATAATAAATACTTTATGCTTATGTTTTAATAAGTTTCTCAAATGTATAAGATTCATCTGGCAGGTGCCTAACTACACAGGGTTGCCTTGTACTGAATACTGATAATGACTTCGATAATTTGCCTCGCTTGGCAAAAACTATCGACTGTCACAAGCTTGGCTTTGAAACGTATCTAGCCATCTGTTATGCCAAATAACTAAATATTTGATACTTGTTATTTATATGTATGTCACCTGCAAATTTTGTACGTGGTCAAATAGTATTTTGCCTAATTCAATTCTTTATTGGCTGTCATTTTGTGCGGCATATCGTAGACTAACAAGTTTTTTCTTCCTATGCAAATTACTAATACAATTATAAATGGACGGTGTACACGATTTACCGGTAACATATGTATATTTATAATGAATGTACGCGAATTGGTTGTGCAATCGACCCACATACATTGATTATTCCGCCTACTGAATTGATGACGAGACGTAAATTATTCGCAATTGCTCTTTACAATTACGATACTGTTTGACAATTTTACTTATAAATGTAATTCAGTCGGAGACTAACGAGGCAAAATGAACAATACTTATAACTTATTGATAAACATGTGACGTGTTAAATCTTACTTCATCATCAGCTCACTATACGTCAACACCGAGGGGCTCGGTGCCTACCCTAAGTTAAGGGTGATTAGGCCATAGACACAGATGTAGAACAAAGCCTGGAAGAACACAAAGGCTACTTGCTAAGTTTTTTTTTAATTCTGTGCGGACGTAGTCGCGGCTAAAAGCATGTATAAATATCTAATAATACATAGTACATACAATAAAGTAGATATGTACTAGTGTATTGGATTCAGCTCTCGCGTATTTACTGAACCCCGGCCGTTATCCATCGCTTAGACCCGGACTCAATAGTTATTCAAAATGTTAATAGAATTTCTATTCAACTCGCAAAGGCACTATAAAGCCAACGTAAAGTAATGAAAACTCCGCAGTAATTTATTTTACAACGACAAAATGTTGCACGGACACGTTTCAATTATTTCTGTTCTGTTACAATTCAATATAATGTAAAATATATTAGAACATGGAATTTAAGTAGGTTTTTTAAATCGTAGTAACATAAAGATAAACACAGTAAGGAAATGGTCGAAATTTTGGAAACTACACGATTATGTGTCTTTCTAAAACTATTTACACTACCAGGGAGTTATAACATTCTGTACCACTCATGACTATCTAGGATTAATGTAACATCTTGATAGTTTATTTAAACCTGTCACAATATTGCTGCCAAGGGTCGATTTTAGCATTTCCAGCGCCCTGGGCGAGATTTTGCGGCGCTCTCTTTTTTTTGGTGTCGGATAAAATCTTCCAAAAATGGGTTACCTTAGGGGGCGCAGGCGCTCCTTTTTATCCGACCTGGCGCATAAGGTGCCACTTTATGTCGGGCGCCCAGGGTAGTCGCCCCACCTCTCCCTACCACAACGGTGCTATTGATTCCTGCCAACTTACATTCGTGGTTATCTTTATAGGATTCCTATAATTTTCCAACTCCGCTGTTTAGGTATTCAATATCTGTAGAAGCTAGTTGAGATCGTTCCATACATCATCATAAGCATAATAAAGCATACTTGACAAACTATTGTGTCGTGCACATTCCGCTGAGCTTGGCCACTTCAGAGTTGCCATTGTCAGACAACACGATCAATTCACTCGGTTCAGCTAACTTTGTATTGATTTAATGCTGTTTTCATACAGTCTGCTCTAATTTGGCGATGACCTGAATTGGATGTGATTATAGAATTTACTAGGTGTTGTAATACTATGAGTTAATAATATTTAAAGATGTAGAGCAACAGCTAAGATTCAGTTGCACTTTTATAGGATAAGTTGCCAGTCGTTTTGACAATTCTCAAATTTGTTTAAATTAGTCATATTTTCGAGTAGCTTAATAGTATTTTTGTTCATTCTCATCAGCATTCCTGTTTTTACTTTTTGGGGATTTGTCATATTTATAACTTTTTTAGCATTCGTAAATATAATGGCGTTTAATAAGAAAGGTGGAAGTGTTAGGTTCGGTGTTGCGGTGCGCGACAAGTCAACGACCGGCCTTGTTCGCGCAGGGCCGATGCCGTCCCTTTGTTTCGATGGCGCTAGTTGCTACCAGTCTGACGATCCACGACCACGGTGACTGTGCGAGCGAGAGTCCAAACACCTATTCCTACAAAGATTAACCCTGATAGTCAAATAAATGCGCATCGTCGTTGTAGCAAAAAAACTGTTAAAAAAGTCGTATAAGTTTGGAGAGAATAAAATTATATACTCGTATTCATATTTTACACTATCATCGCTAAAAGTTAATATTTGCAAACATTGTTTTTTTTCTATTTGTTTGTATCAATACACATTTACAGCCTAACTACACTCACATGTAAAGTACATAAGTAATTCGTTGTCGCGAGAGTTGAGCCGGCGAGTCGCCAACAGAGTTGTGCAAGGTCGCGATCCGTCTTTATTATTATTATTGCACAAGCCGAGACAAATCTGGATACGGCATAGCATGGTCGCGCGTGCTCGTGCGTCATAGCGGGTAAATTTAACTCGCGGAAGGACATCGGGTAATGTGCGGTGTACACTCCCACAGTACGATTCACGCGCGCTTTCATCCCGCTCCTTCGGGATTGACCACTAGATTAATAGGGTATTAAGTGATGAAGCACTTTCTCTCCTATGTTATTATTTAAATTGTGTACAAAACAATATGTGCGTTTGTGTGAAATATTATCCTATTACGAATTTATGTATAGTTTTCAAAATAACTAAATGTCAATAATAGTGCTCTCATTTTTTGACTAAACAACTTTTAGCGTTCATAAAGTGATATATGGTGTACGTAGAATAGTGAAGTGATCCTAAAACGCCAAAGCAAGTCCGAAAAAATAAGTTAGAAATCAACAGAATATAATAACATTTATCGAAACATTTGTCTGAGTATAAATAGTTGGTTGGCTGTTCAATTTAGCATCAATATCTTACCTAAGTGAGTTTCTTTAAATTTAATCGTTACTATTGCACAAATGTCATATTATATGATTAGTCATTTTTACATATTTGTATTATTTTAAATGTGTAGTTAACGATTTACTTCTTTTAACACCCTTGTCGCAGTGACATTTATTCATCGTGCGGTTTTGTTTGTAAACAATAAAATAGCGAATGTTTGTTGTTTGTTTTAGTACCTGATAAAATTCAACGAGATAAAGACGAAGAAGGGTATCGAGTTACTGCAGCACCTTGTGGAGTATTACCACGCACAGACGAACTACTTCCAGGATGGGCTGAAGACGATTGAACATTTTGGTGTGTACGTGGCCGACCTTAGTTCCCAGTTGCAACGAATTCGACAACAGCAAGACGACGAACGTCGCGGTCTGCTAGAGCTCAGGAACATGCTGCGAGCAGCAGCACCGCCTGACAGAGAGGTGACTCATTTATTCTTTACAATTATTTAATAACCAGTACATTGACAATAGAGGTTTTTTGATTAAGCCTTCTCGGTAACCTTTCAGACCTTTAATAAAAGGATTCATATAACATATAAATATCATGTTGCTAAAAAGTCAATAACGATTTGCCTATAGGTCTATAAGCTACTACTACTTGTGCAAACATTAAATTATTCAAACTTTCGTGAGACATTATAATAAAGTTATATAAAAACGGCTAAACACTCACGTATATTCGTCCGGTGGCGGCACCGACTAGTTTCGAGCCCATCGGGGGCCCTTCATCAGGGTGAGTGGAACTGATATTATTGCCCGGACAAGGCCCATTGCTCACTGTTAGCACTTTTTATATAAGTTATGCAAACATTATACAAATTTTGCAATAGATTCGAATACCGATAAACTAGATAGTCTAAGATAAAACATGATTAGAAAAATAACAATATTATGTCCTTCCTGGCATGTATACGATTTTTTCATGTGTTAATTTCTGTAAACGAGTCAATTCTCGAGTACAAATATTCAGCGTGGTACAATGAGTGTTTCTAGACATAACAATAAAATAATTAAGAATAATCTAGTTTCGTGGGAAAGAAGTAATTGTTTATGCATATTAAAATAGCTGATGTAGAGTTTTTATATTAACATACTCGTAACTTCATATCTCCGTCTCTCTATCCTTAAAATTAAAGTTAACCATGTTTCTTGTATTGTTTACCCATAATAACCTAGTTTTACTTAATTTAAATGTTACTCTTACATGCTATTAAGTAAAGACACAACTCTGTGTTAATTCACTTTGACAAAATATTCTCACGGCCTTGGTTTAAATTATTTTATACTAACAAAGATATTTCCGTGTAAGTTTTTCGTAGATTAGCTATTTCGAGTTAATTAGGATATTGTTATCACAAATGACACTAACGAATAATATGCGATAAACAAACATATTTTTTAATAATTATTTTTCTGCTTAATTGTAAACATAAAGTTCCTATGCTTACTGCGTAGATACGATATTACTACGATCTCCCGTTGTTTTTTTTTATAAATCTTATATATCTATATATATAAAAGAAAGTCGTGTTAGTTACACTATTTATAACTCAAGAACGGCTTTACCGATATGGTTGAAAATTGGTGAGGAGGTAGCTTAGAGCCAGGAGACGGACATAGGATACATTTTTTTTTCTAATTTATACCTATATATATATTAGGTTTTTTCATATATCCACGCGGACGGAGTCGCGGGCGACAGCTATTTTTTAATAATTTTGTATATTGCGAAATGTGATTATTTTTAGCAACATATTTTTAATGAACATTAACATAAATTTAAATGCGTAATGAAATTTATCGCTCAGTGCTACCGCGACAAAAATAACTTCGTATTCCAATTCGGGTGATTACAGAGTACTAATGGATAATTCTTTTTTATGTTCACGCATACAGCTCGCGAAAATAGCAATTACGTTCTGATCTATTTTAATTTGCTTAATGTAATTCTATAGATTTTCATGAACAAGCGTTTGCTTATTGATGAAAGCTTTCTTACTAGTGTTTGGTCACTTTTGTGATGAATTAAAATTAGTACAGGTTTTTTTTAAATTTCTAATTGTGTATTCTTTCTCCTAAAATTGCCCCTTCTATTTTATATACAACTTAGAATATATTTTGAACACATCAAATGCACATTCAAAAATCTCGCTACATTCCTCTCCGACGGACGCTTGCTTTTAATCCTTCATCATATATATGATAAAAATATTTTTTCTTAGACGTAAAGAAACGTTGTTAAGAAAATATGGAGAGTACTTGAAGGATGGTATTAGCAAAAAGTGACTTTTGGAATGTCTGTCGATAGATTGGCGTGAAGCAGGGGGTCTAGCATGAATATTTTTGGCAATCGCCATTGTATCGTTGACAGAATTTGTGTGAGTTCATAAAAAATCACATACTAATTTTGACATAATTGACAATAACGATACGAAGACGATCACAAGTATTCGTGTTAGGCCCACAGAAAACATGTTGTGTCGACTAATGTTAACCCAGACAGTAGCTGAAGGATATTTTTGTGTGTCCAGGTGACATCATCAGTGGGGGGATATTCATTGCACCAGCTTCAAGGTGACAAACAACACGGTGTGACGCGGAGTGGGTATTTGTTAAAGAAGTCGGAAGGCAAGGTGCGTCGTGTTTGGCAGAAACGACGCTGCAGAGTGGCAGCCGAGGGTTACCTGGATATATTCCACGCTGATGAGAACAAACCACCAGCAAGAGTTAACTTACTCACCTGTCAGATTAAAGTCGCCTCCGATGACAAGAGGGCGTTCGATCTAGTCTCTTGTAAGTATCGTGGTAGCTTTTCTATGTGTAAGCCACAATCAACATGAAGAAAATCAATAGGGAAATGATACAAATGAGTATTCAGACTGTTAGAACAAATTACCAATCATGTCCACTTTAGCGCGTAATTAAATCGTATAATTATAGTGTAATCGTATGATGCAATTAATGACCAACATGCCGTAACGTATAACATTATCACGCTAGTTGCCAAAGGCAATCGCCAATTTGATTTCGGAATATTTTATACAATATGTCATATTTTGGGTATCTGTACTAGCCCTATACAAGGAAGATTTTAACAGCGGATATTTATTTATTTTTTGATACTGAGCGTAGTCTCTTCTTGTCAGTCCCTTTAAAATCAGTCCAGCCGTTCCCTAGATCACCCGGAACAAATGTAGCCTTGCAGACATACCGACAGACAGATAATAAAAATAAAGATTGTTTTTTTATCATCAGCATCTTTTTTTAAGTGTCGAGTAGACTTCGAATGCCTTGTGACTGATAATCCATTTAAATTTACCTTTGGCGATAGGCATTACAGTTGATTGGATTAAATGTTGTAATATGAGTAGGCGTGGAGTTTATGCGCATGTGTGACGTTAACTCTGTGCTAATACTAAGCTATTTAAGTTGGATAATCTTTCCTATTCGAACGAATAGATAAGTTCGTTAGCCCTGCAATGAAATGTAGATATATCGTTTCATATAAGCTACATAGGTTTAACGTATTAAAGTAGCGAGTTACAGCGTTTTAACTAGATTGTCGTAATATTGAATTTTAGCACGTAACGGATTAGCTAAAATGAAAGAGCTAGTGCATGTTTGCCGTTGGGCGATCGGCCCACTGATCGGTCCGATGGGCCGATTGATTCTATGGATTTTTTTCATTGGTCAGATGGACCGTTGGACCGATTGTTTTTTTTATCAGATGTATTGTATTCCAGATAATCGCACATACCATTTTCAAGCGGACGACGAGAACGAGCAGCGCGCTTGGACTTCAGTACTGGTGAACTGTAAGGAAGGCGCGCTGCTGCGGGAGTTCCACCAGCAGGCGGGCGAGGGCGGGGGCGGGGGTGAGGCGGACGGGGAGGGGCACTCGCTGCTCGACCTGCAGCGTGCTATCATACGAGCAGTGCGCGCGTTGCCTGGCAACCACGTGTGTGCTGACTGCGGCTCCACTAATGGTAATATTATACTTTAAACTAGGTATATCTTTGTAAATAGATTCATTCATTAGTTTCTGAAAGTGAATCGCTATTAAATTCTCGAATGGCCAGGGAAATAAAGATGAATTGTATAAAATTTTGGTCTTAAAAGGGAATTCACATATGTTGGCTGATAGAGATAAATGTTTATAAGTATGTTCTTTTAAACAAACTGACGATCCGTCGTAGTAGGGGTCAGAGGGATTCAAACCTAAATTAATTGCATTTGAATGTGCCTGTGTGAAATTACGACATAACCTTTCGTAAATGAACTTTGCATACTGTTTGACCTTTAGTATTAATTAACAAGCATTTTTATATAAATACCTATTTCTTTCACATATTTTATCTTTAAACTGTATTAAAATTTTCTGTTATTCTCTAGAAAGAACCAAATAATCGTAATATTTTTCCTCTTTCAGATGCCACGTGGCTCTCGACAAACTTCGGGATAATAGTATGCATAGAATGTTCTGGAAGTCACCGCGAGCTGGGCGTGCACATCTCCCGCATCCAGTCGCTGACGCTGGACAAGCTGAGCACGGCGCAGCTGCTGCTGGCGCGACACATGGGCAACCA